TTGAGATCCATTTTTATATAAATCAATAAAAAATATCAACAACAGTCGATAAACTAATCAAAGGATAAGGGAGTGAAGAACACAAAAAGTATACACGTTATAAATCACGCTAAAAATAAAACGGATAGAAAGAAATCATCTCTTGTTGATCGCACAACTAATATGTCAAAGCTACAAAACACAAGAACAAAAATCATATCAATTTATGGGATAAAACAAAAACATTCTATGGGATTTAGTTAAACCTACCTTGAAAACACCTAAAAAAAACTAAACCATGATTAATTTTCAAACCAATATCTAAAGCAAGAAAACCTCAAAGAGACCTTTAATATCTGTTTTAGTGGACAAAACAAAAGCTAGTACTAAAAGATATGAAACGAAATATTGGACAAAACATCAAACCGTAGACGTTGAAGTATAAATCTTCATACCCGCATAAGAAAAAAGACTTCGTACAATCAAAATTCGATGTTGAAGCCTTCCATAACTTTGAAGCCAAATAATATACAAAAATCATACCTTGTTAATTAAATTATGAAATCTGGAAACATAAAAACCAAAATCAGACCAACCATCGAGGATAACAAAAAGAAGGATCAAAGTGAGTTGGAGATTATACCTTGTTAAGGTCGATTTAAACTACAAAATCTGGAGAACATAAAAACCAAAATCAGACAAACCATTGAGAATAATAGAAAGAAGGATCAAAGTGATTTAGAAAAGTTCATGCTCATGAGCACGATAATCAAAGTCACATGGTAGAAAAATATTAATTAATGTGAATATGCAAGAAGATCTGATATTTAATGTAAATATTTGAAAACGATCGTAGTTATAATTTTGTTGTTACCTTTTACGTAGAGAACACGTATCCAAACATACTATTAGATCCTGAAGATGAAGATGAAGATGGAAGAACCAATATACCAACGTAAATATCCTATACAAATTTGTTAAAAAGGAATCGGAAAATTATTAATTTTTGTTTTTGTCACTTCAGAAAAGTATTAAAGATCAATCAAACACCAATGTTTAACATACGAAAAAAAAATAGATTAATAAAATTACCACAAGATGGATAGACTATGCGGCTGACGAACTAAACGCTCACATGGTAGATAATTGTAGTTAAATAAGAAATCCAAACAAAATACCCATGTAGAATATTAAACAAATGACCGAAACAGAGCGAATTCAAATCAATGTGCA